GGAGTTTGAGGTCTCATTGGTAAGACTAAAGACTAATTTCTCATGTTAACACAAAACATTACTGAGCCTCTAGTTGTTGTTGTTGTTGTGACACAAGACAGTAGGAACATGAAGTAAATGGTGCCACGTGTCGGCCTGTGGCATCAATCTAATTTAGCTGGTACAACTAATACAATAAGGAGGCTGAAGTCCGCAGAGAGAGCTCATGACACATCAGTCAGTGATAACATGTTTGTGTTAGCGTCCCTACGTGCCCCGACAGATAAATGCACTGCAGATTAAAGACGGAGGATCACAAGGGGGAAGGGATGAAATCCAAAGATACCACTGACAGATAATGAGAGTGATTAAAGGAGCGGGAGAGCAGCAGAGGGCTGAGTCATAGCTGCAGACAGGAAATCGTGTCATGTTACTCATCCCCCACCCCCCAGAGACGGACCTGCAGTCTCTCTCTCTCCTCCTGATGCCGCTTCTCCATCTCCGTCAGCTGTGCGTAAAACCGGCCGGTGGCCTTCCTGAGCCGGGCGCTCTCCTCCTGGTCGTCCTCCACCTGCGAGAAAGTGACGAGTTCAATTAGACTTAATCTGCCTGAACCTGAGGGCGAGGGAGGCCAAGGCTAACATGCAGATGAAAGCAGGCCGTTCAGCGGATGTGTTTAAAAGGTTACTCGGTCTCGCCTGAGGTAACAAAAGCATCAAGACAAGAAGCTCTTTAACTGTACACAGATAATCTTTTATCTCTGGGGCTGTCGGGGGCAGTTTTCCTCCTCTCTCGGACAAACAGCGCTCTGTGCATCGCCGCATAATCCGACACCGCTTAGAAAGCAGGGCGGCGTAAACTGACCCTTGCTTACCTATACAGCACACATACAGGTCGCCGGGGTCGGATATCCACACGGCTTCCCCCCCCTGCTCCACCTCCCTGACAGATGACTGGTGTTGTGTTACGGGAGATGTTGTGATGTGCTGAGGCTAGAATAAAGCGTGGGAAACACAATATCGTGCATGTGCTTGCTATTAGTCAGGATGTAAGCGAGCCCTGGCGCTGTGTGAGCTGTGTGATGAGCTTCAGAGAGCCTGGCGATGTTTTTCTTGCTGCTGCTGCTGTAAGTTGGAAACAGCTGGAGGGCCCAACGTCTTTTACCATTACCAATGACATGCCTGTCGTTTGAATATTAATTTAAATGCTTTCAGTTTGCCCGTATCGAACTGATGGATAATCCGTCACACAGACAAGAGAAGGCTGATGCTCTTACGCTAGAGTCCGAATCGATGAGGACAGCGTTGCCGTTGGTGACAGATGTTTGGCTGTTGCGCACGTTGACTCTGAAGCCATTGACTGGATACTGTAAAGGAAATAAAAAAAGCAGAGTTTTATTTCTGTTTTTACTCCTAAAATGTACAACAGAGGCCAAGAAAGCTGGAAACTGAGCAACTTGGACAGATCAAACTGCCAGAAACTGTAGCACATGTACCGTTAATTCAGTTAGTTTTTAAGCCATTACATAATGCATACTTCAGCTGCTCAGGCCAAACAGGCTCACCAGGCCTCGTAGCCCATCAGCAGATTCCCCGACTAAGACGTAAGGTGACTAAGCCTTTTCTGTCTGGGCTTTTGAGTGTTTTAAACCTCATCTCAACACCTTCATTATTCTTGAAGGCGTTTTGTTGACATATATTTAAGGAGTTTTTCTTTCCATTGAACTAGTTTCGTTCCTTGATTCAAACATGCACTCACCAGAATTGATCCATGTGTTGTTGTTTTAGTTGATTTACCTCGTCTTAAATTTAAAGTGCTGTATTTATTCTTGATGGTTTTAATATTTTACTAATTTTTATGGCTCATTTTATCTGTATGCATAATTCTTCAGTTTATTGTGTGTTTGCACGGCTGTTTACTAAATGAGGCCTCAACCAGAACTACTAGTTTAAATAAAGGTTGAGATGAAGTTAATAAAGATTATTTTACTTTTTTAAAACGGTAAAGCATTTCAGAACGCTGGTCTGTCAGAAAACAAATCTGAGCTCAAAATCATATTATTTAATCAACTTAATTTTACGTGTCTCATTTAGAAATTATCCAAAAAAAAGGAACAGTTCTTATGTAACCAAATTGTGTAAAAAGACTAAAAAAAAATGGCACCACCGTGAAGCCATGAGTGACTCAGCTGGGACCAGCAGTTACACAACAAAAATTCAGGAACTTTTCGGGTGAACCAGACTAAACAGAGCAGACAGGAAACAAGAGCGTAAACAAATTAAAACTGTAAGTAGTAAAATGTAGCCCCCGTTTCTTTCTTTGACTTTTTTTAGGATTGATGGCATTATAACTTTGTTAAACTGCACAGAAGACTATTGTTCTCTGACACTGTGGTTCTGCTGTTTCAAAGATATTATACATTCCAGTATAAAATGAGCCCACAGTGAGCTAAAATATGACTGGAGCAGAATATGCTTTGGATTCAGGCAGTTAAATAACCATGTGGAAAGAAAACCCAGATCTTAGTTCCTCCTAAACCCAAGGTCACCTCCTCGTTCTGCTCTGAACAACAGTTAAAAACTAAATATATTCAATTTTCAAGCAGAGCCTCTTATTACAGAATCTATTTTTTGCTAAATGAATGATTTAAAACATAAAACGAGCGTCACAATTGCTGTCAATTAAACTTTTGTTTGATTTACAAAGACGCTGAAGCCTTTAACTTTCCAGCAGCGGAGGGTGTGTACCTTGTTGTTGTTGCTGCTCTGCCTGGCTGCCATCTGCTCTCTGAGGGTCTTCAGACAGTACCTCACCTAGGAGCCAAGACACAGCGGGCATTAAAATCATGTCAACACAACTGTGTCCTTCACCTTGTTCGACTCTTAGTGTCATCCTAAAAAGAGCGTGGACTCATTGTCCATCATTAAGACAAACTGACCTCCTGAATCTGTGACACTTCGTCCGTCAGCATCCTGACGCTCTCTGCTGCCTCTGGACGGGATTCGAGGTAAACCTGGGTGACACAGTGATGGGAGTGAGTTGGATAATACAGGTAAGTACAGCTCAAGTGTCCGCGCAACTATAAAAACAAACATTATTACAGCAAAACCAGCTCACGCACCTTGATGACTTCGACTTTTTCGTCTGTGGGGGTGATGAGTTCAGGCGTCTTCTCCTTCTCCTCTGGTTTCTGTGGCAGCACAACTGCGATGCTGCTCTCCTACATTCAGTCAAAATATTAGATAATGCCCCCTTACCATATCAATTCTTTTAGTAAACCACTTCAAGAGTTCGTACCTTGCTGCTGTATCCCGCCTGATCCTGACCTTGTAGGGCGAGTCTGAGCCGCCTGCACCGCTCCTGAAATGAAAGATGAGAGGATAAGAGGAACTTACATGAAGCAGAGGGGATTCTCAGAAAAAGGAAAAAAAAAGAAAAACAACCAATGAAGGAGCAGGGCTTAAAACGAAAGTCAGAAGTGAAAGAGAAGAGGGTGGAGCAGACACAGAGAGAGAGAGAGAGAAGAGGGTAGTTTTTAACAGTAAAACTTCCCATTACTCAAGTTCCTCTGTGGATGCCGCACAGTTAGACCGTAAAACCTGGCAACCCACACAGAGGAAGATGTTTCCACTGAGTCCTCGTTGCCAAGTCTGGTGATTATGACCAAACGCCGCTCGCTGGAGAAGAATTAAACCAGTCGGGGGCCAAAAATACCAAAAACATGTGGCTGCTTAGTCACTGCAGTCGCCTTGGCAACGAAAACAGACAATATGGGATAATACCTGTCATGCAAATTTATACAACTTCAGTATTTTTAGGACCAAGAGTGATACCGCCACACACAGAGTGGCGGTTCTGGAAACATCCAGATGGTTTGACTCAACATGTGGCCCTGGTTGTCTGTTCTGTACATACGTCTACTATATCCTAGCCTCTTGTTCTACATAAATCTAGACTTGTGCACACTGTTTTACTGATGTGTATTCTATTCTAGGGATCTACAATTTCTTCTATTCTGTAGATATGTGTTTTCTGTTCCAGCTACGTTCCTTCTTTTTTACTTAAATCTAAATGGTAAATGGACTGCACTTATATAGTGATTTTCTACCTTAGCGGTACTCAAAGTGCTTTACAATGTGTTTCTCATTTGACCATTCACACTCACATTCATACACCAATGGTGACAGAACTGGCATGCAAGGTGCTGCCTGTCATTGGGAGCAACTTCAGGTTCAGTGTCTTGCCCAAGGACACTTCGACTGGGATTGAACCACCAACCTTACGATCAGAGGACAACCGCTTTACCACCTGAGCCGCAGTCGCCCCAAGCTTGTGTATAATATTTTACTCAGAACCAACACATGCGACCACATTACTCCTGTTTTAACCTCATCACGTTGGCTCCCAGTATGTTAAAGTATAGATTGTAAGATTTTACTGATGACCTTGAAGGCCATTCATGACCTCTCTCCCAGGTATAGCTCTGTCTCTGACCTCTTCGTACTTTACACGCTGATAAGCACTTTGCGATCATCAGGCGACTAAATCTGAATGTTAACAGTTGTGGCTATTTATTGATAAGATCATTTACAGATTTTACTTAAGTCTTAATTGACTTTTTATTCATCTTCTTACTTTTTCCTTGGGTTGTTTTATTCATATACTAAACTGTTTATCTGCTTTCTTTTAGAAACCTGTTGACTTTATGACCTGTGTAGCTCTAAAAATATCTTAAATAAAGATCACTACCATTACTATTTTTCTATTTTGTTGTTTAGATATGCATTTTATCTTCTTTTCTATTCAGCAGGTATTACATCTTTTCCTGCAGGTATTTCTTTTCCCTTCTGCTCTGTGAGCGAGGCAGGAGGAGTAATTTATGACTTGACATATTCCAGAAAGCACCTGACGTCTTCGCGGCTCCTTTATTTGTCCTCCACTTGTATCGCTGATCTTTTAATGACGCACCGTATTTTCCACGCCAACACCTGCTAGGGACTGGACTCTGTTACTGTGGGCGTACTTTAATCTGCGTTGATTTCAGCCATTAAGTCAAGTTTCTGTAGCTATTAAAGACTATTTTAAACAACAAAACACTCAGATTTTTTTTAAAAAGACAACTAATTCTATTAATAGATAGTTAATAATAAGCAGTAAAGGAAAGTAGTCACTCCCACAGCTAGGAAATGTGCAGTTTAATTGACAAGTTATGTAAAAAACAATAATAATATGAAATGACAGTTAAATTCCTTAATTGTACCTGACCCTTTCAATCTCCCCCCGAAAGCAAACCAGAAAAAAATTCCTTTGAATGCACATAATCCTTGCTGGGAACACCCATTCAAGTATGCTGTGGTGTGACTGCACATAAATCGTGTTGCTTTTTCTGCGATTGTGCAAAGAAAACAAACCCGCTCATCCCTTTGACAGATTAAATCCACTTCAGGTGGAGGATAACAGCCCAGCTACAGTTATGTAACCTCGTCTTATCAGCAACTAAACTAATCTTTGCCTCCTTGTTGCGTTGGGTGTGTGTGTGTGTGTGTGTGTGTGTGTGTGTGTGAGAGAGAGTAAAGTCATTATTTGGGTTGGACGTCTATGAAAACCCGCTTTTACTTCGTGGTTCTTGGGGGCGTTATCATCATCAGCGGCCTTAATTAAAGTTAGTTTGGGTGTCGGCAGCAGCAGAATAAATTAGAAGGCTGCACGAATGACATAATTTAATAGCCAGAAGCAAAAAGAAATAAAAACTAAACGTCCTGTAGAGGTTTGGACTGTAATTATCTTCTTTGTTTGTTGTGTTTTTAGTTGGAAATCCTCAGACAACTACTATTAATAAAGAATGAAATACAGAAACAGCACCCAGATAGTTAAGTTGATAAGATATAATTAATTTGTTTTCTCCTCCAGAACATAGCAGCACAACACCATTTATGCACGGCTGACGTCACACTTCGCTGGAACTTTGCTCAAAAAAACAAACTCGTAAAAATATCTTCCACTTGCAGCTTCTTATTTTTCTGTCACAGAACTATTTTTACAGGTTTGACGGGCAGGTGCGAGTCCTGCATTGTGCATAAAATGTGAAGATCGAGAAGAAACAGGTGTTTTTCTCCCCCCCCCCATGCCTTGATGTCCTCACGCAAGAGGAACATCATAAATCCTCACCCTGCATGTGGTCAGTAAACCACTGAAACATACTACGCGGTGACGCTGCTCACACACTGGACTAAATCCACGCTTAACAAAGCCGCCTTACACACCTTTAATTGCACTGACACGTCGGCCACATACCACAGTCTGCTGTCATCTTAGAGGCGATGCTGCTACAGCAACAACCTCAGAGGCGTTTATTTGTGACGCCACAAACAGAAGCGCTTTAAATCGAGAAAATGACCAAACGCTGTAAGAATGTAGGAAGTATGTCAGAAGGATTAAAACGTTTTGCAACTGACCCTTACGCTGGAGACTGCTGTGAGCACCAACTTGATTATCCAACCACTCCTCCTCCTCCTTTCCTGGGAAAATCCATTAACTGAGTCGAGTTTCCTGGTAGCATCATGACAATGCAGCCAGTTGGAGGCATGTGAGGCACCAGTAGCCTGTTTGTCGTCTGTGATCAAGTCACATCAATTAGAGAAATAAAAAAAGGAGCATAAAACAGTTACCAAATGTGGTGCCTGATGCTTGAACGTCAAGACGGAACACGATGTACCTTAGGCACGTTTAGAGCTGCTATTAATAGTGTTTCTCAGACTGAACAATGAGATTAAAAGAAGAAAAGTGCAATGTACGACAGCAAATATCCCACTTGTGGATCTATAACTGCCATAAAAAAGAGTCTAAAAAAAATCAGTTCCAGTAAAGGAAATGGCAAAAATTTATGAAGGAAATGTAGATATATAATTATCTAGATACACATTGTTCAAATGTCCATCCATCCATTACCTATACACTGCTTAATCCTCACTAGGGCCATGGGGGGCTGGAGTCTATCCCAGCTGACTCAGGGTGAAGGCAGGTTCACCTGGACAGGTAACCAGTCTATCACAGGGCTACACTTAGAGACAGACAACCAAGCACACTCACATTCACACCTACGGACAATTTACAATCACCAATTAACCTCAACATGTTTCTGGACTGTGGGAAGAAGCTAGAGAACCTGGAGAGAACCCACGCTGCACGGGGAGAACATGGACACTCCATGCAGAAAGATTCTGGGTGTCCTCACCGGGACGTGAGCTGGCGACCTTGGACCAGCAGTGCCAACCCCGTTATTCAAATTTCCAATCAGACAAAACATCTTAAACTGATCAAAAGATTCCAAACAAACACAAAAATAAACAAAATCATGGATGATAGACTGAAAAATGTCAGAACCAACAAGGATTAATGAGCGCTGATCACCAAACAAAGAAGTAGATCAGTTCTGCTTGCAGTTGTTTTCTTCCTAATGGGTCACTAAATAAACCAATATGCGAAGGGGATTATGGCTCCAGAGCGTGTGTGAACATGCCGACTGTAAGTCATACGGAGATACACGACTTTGAAAAGCAGGACAACCCATGGTGCAAAACGTGGGGAGCACATTTGGCTGCTTACGTCAGCAACCAGTTCTCTGCTTTGCAAGTCAAACAAAGGCTAAATGGTTCAACTTGACTGGCAGCTCTTTGAGCGTAATTGCGACGCCTGAAAACCATCAGCTCTGAGGCGGTGACATACAGGCCAATATTTCACTCTGCGCCGAGGAGGCGACAGCTCAAGGGTTTCTTTCCCTGCTGAGACGCGAGGAAGATCGTGGGACGGACACACCCTGGGCGGTGCTAACATTACACCGAAACACAATGTTCTGCACCTCACCACACGCTATTATCCTTTGTGTTTTTGGCATGAGCTCATATTTAGATTACACACGTTTAGCTGACAATCATGCACGGGATGTCAAAACGCAGACATCAGACCTGTAAGTTCAACAATCATCGGTTTGTTTTAGCGTTCAAATAATCCATAAAATACATATTTGACTTAATTAATGTGTAGTCTGTTAGAACTTGTTCCAAAAGCCCGTCAGGTATTTTCTCTTCGCCTGGGAAATGTTCTGCTTTTTATGTGTTTGGAAGCAGCAACAGCAGAGTGTTGAGAAATAATGAAAATGGCAGACTACAATGATGTTTAGAAATAAAACACTGAACGGCAACACAATCACTCATCATCAGATTTCAGGACACTATGTCGTACTCCGGAGCGGCCTGGATGGTGAATGAAAACAGGACTGATTTACAACCACTCCCACATCAAGTGCTTATTATGTGTCACTGCAGGCAAAATGTCCTGTTCTGTACCTGTGATCGCGTTCC